GTTAAAAAAAAACAACGATCTCTTTATTTGAAACTAAGGTGTTGCATTCTTTAAAATACTGATTTATTATCATCGTCAACACTCATCTATGTTGTTGTTGTTGGTGGTGGTGGAAAAACTCATTAAAACACACAGACACACAAATTTCATTTATAGAAACTTGAATACTCAATCTTTTTCATTATAATTTACTTTGTATTTTCATTTCAATGTTAGGTCAGAACCATATTTTGTTTTTTTTTTTCCCTTTATCCATATTTTTTACATTTTGAGGGGATAATTATATTGTGGTAAAATCAAGGTTCGCGGTGATGGGCGAGGAAGAAGAGAAAGCAAACTCAAGAGACAACAACAAAACCTATGAGGGAAGAAGCCTTAGGGCAAACACGCACATAGAGAGCAAAAGTTCACGGTACAATAAATAGGCATATAATTTGTTTTACATATAGAGATGCGGATGCGATGTAACAAAAACGATTCCGTATCGATAACATAATCAATTATAACTTTGCACATATATGTCCAAAATGCACCGATACACAATTTTTAGTAGTATAATTTCAACAAAGATGATTTTATTTATTTTTAGTGAATTTTAGTATTTTATATCAAATTTTGTAAGACCATTTCACACACGTATGACTTATTCATGAATTCTAAATCACTATCATTATCATGAGGGGTTATTTTAACTAACATCTGTTAGAGTGATTGTGTGAGAAAAATTTTATGACAAAATTACCCTTAATATGAAACATCCGATTGAGTGATTGTGTGATAAAATTTTTGGACGAAATTACCCTTAAAACTAAAGTACCCACCACTCATTATTATTATTATTTTTTAAATGCATAAAACACTAAAATGAGGCCTCCGCTTTTGAAATGAGGCCTTTGATTTTTTCTTTCGAAATGTTCTTGCATTTGGAATATATATAGTAATATGGTAGTTATTTATCAAATGTCAACTTAAATTGATTTTGGTGGGAAAAAAAAAAAATCCCTTGTACCATGATTTTTTATAAAATAAGATAAAGAAAGAGATATATATACAAGAGATCCAAAAATATTAGTACCTTGATTTTTTATAAAATTTAAAAGTAGAAATTTATCAAACTATGTGGCAAACGCTTTTTCTACAGAATAAATAAATAATTAAAGATAGTCCAAACTAATATTTGTTATTTAAGTGAAATATCTTTTGACTATGAAAAAATAAAAAATAAAAAAACAAGTGCGAAATATGTTTTGGGAGGGGTGGGGGATGGGGGTTTTGTTTTGATATTACGGTGGATGCCTCCACTGGATTTTTTTTTTTTTGATATGTTATACCCATAATTTTTTAGAAGCCTATAAATTTAACTTTTAAATTTTATAAAAAATTATAGTACGGATATTTTTAGATCTCGTATATATATCTCTTTATTTATCTTATTTTATAAAAAAATCATGGTACAAGTTTTTTTTTTTTTTTCACCAAAATCAATTTAAGTTGACATTTGATAAAAATTACCAAATTATTATATATATTCCAAATGCAAGAACATTTTGAAAGAAAAAATCAAAGCCCTCGTTTCAAAATTAGAGGCCTCGTTTTAGTGTTTTATGCAGTAAAAAAAAAAAAAAACGAAAAAGTGAGTGGTGGGTACTTTAGTAATACTAATATATTGTTTTGATTTTAAGGGTAATTTTGTCCTAAAATTTTTCTCACATAATCAATCTAACATAAGTTAGTTAAAATGACCCCCTCATGATTGTTGATGGGGGTTAATTGCTAAAGATATTTATAAGGGGTGTTTTTTGCAAACAAATGAAAGTCGAGGAGGGTTACTAAATAAATAAAAATTCATACTATATATAATAAGTAAAAAGAATATTAAAAAATAAAAAGTACAGTACAAATACAATAAAATTATTAAGGGTAAAGTACAGTCACACCCCCTGAGATTTGATAAAAGGACACTCAGATGAAACTTACCTGTTTTTTGGATAAAGACACTTTCTGAAGGTTCAAAAATGGACAAAGACCCCTTTACATGAAAAATTAACCAAATTATCCTTTAACCGTTTAGGAGACTTTTTAACTTTACAATTTAATAAATTTGACCAATCTACCCTCATAAATAATTTATGCATAAAAAAAGTAAAAAAAAAAAAAACTTTATATTGTTTACACTTTTTTATTTTTTTATTTTTTTACTTTATAAATGTCCCAACTTCTTAAAAATGCAGACGTCTAAAATGATTTTTTTGATTCAATACATATATTTCAAATAAATTATATTTTGTCATTACTTATTTTCTTTTTCTTTTTTATTTTAAAATTAAGATGCTTAATTCTTTCATCTAAAAAAATTAAACCAATATCTTTTCCTTAAAAATAAAAAATATGGTACCAATATAACTTTATGCATCTTAAATTATATATCAAATATTAGGAATTTCCTAACATAAAAGAAAATAGGTACCATCTTAACTTTATGCATGCCTTTGTTTTTTTTTTTTTTTTTTTTTTTTTTCCTTTGTTTTATTATTATTATTATTTTCCCTTTTATGTTGGGAAATACATAATATTTAATATATAATTTAAGATGCATAAATTTATACTGGTACCATATTTTTTATTTTTAAGGAAAAAAGATTGGTTTAATTTTTTTAGATGAAATAATTAAGCATATTAATTTAAAAATAAAAAAGAAAAAGAAAAGAAGTAATAACAAAATATAATTTATTTGAAATATATGTATTGGATCAAAAAATTATTTTAGACGTCTACATTTTTTAGAAATTGGGACATTTATAAAGTGAATAACAAAAAAAAAAAAAAGAAGAAAAGTGAACAATACAAAGTTTTTTTTTTTTCTTTTAAATGCATAAATTGTTCATAAGGGTAGATTGGTCCAATTTATTAAATTGTAAAATTAAAAAAGTCTCATAAACGGTTAAAGGATAATTTAGTCAATTTTTTTATATAAAGGGGTGTCTTTGTCCATTTTTTAACCTTCAGGGGGTGTCTTTGTTCAAAAAACAGATAAATTTCTTCTGAATGTTCTTTTGCCAAACCTCAAAAGAACAAAGACACCCCTTTATATAAAAAAATTGACTAAATTATCCTTTAACCGTTTATGAGACTTTTTTAATTTTACAATTTAATAAATTGGACCAATCTACCCTTATGAACAATTTATGCATTTAAAAGAAAAAAAAAAAACTTTGTATTGTTCACTTTTCTTCTTTTTTTTTTTTTTGTTATTCACTTTATAAATGTCCCAATTTCTAAAAAATGTAGACGTCTAAAATAATTTTTTGATCCAATACATATATTTCAAATAAATTATATTTTGTTATTACTTCTTTTCTTTTTCTTTTTTATTTTTAAATTAATATGCTTAATTATTTCATCTAAAAAAATTAAACCAATCTTTTTTCCTTAAAAATAAAAAATATGGTACCAGTATAAATTTATGCATCTTAAATTATATATTAAATATTATGTATTTCCCAACATAAAAGGGAAAATAATAATAATAATAAAACAAAGGAAAAAAAAAAAAAAAAAAAAAAAAAAAAAAAAAAAAAAAACAAAGGCATGCATAAAGTTAAGATGGTACCTATTTTCTTTTATGTTAGGAAATTCCTAATATTTGATATATAATTTAAGATGCATAAAGTTATATTGGTACCATATTTTTTATTTTTAAGGAAAAGATATTGGTTTAATTTTTTTAGATGAAAGAATTAAGCATCTTAATTTTAAAATAAAAAAGAAAAAGAAATGACATATACCATTTGTGGCCCCAAAATTTATAACATTAAAAAATAATAAATAGTTATTTTTTTTTTTTGGTATAAATCTCAATTTTGGAGTAACAAGAGCAAAAATTACCATTTGTTCTAGTGGATAGAATTACTGGAAGTTGAAGTTGTGGCGATTTGCATAAAACTTGTCATAAACCACACTATTGTAAAATTCATTAAACTATTTCAAAAAATAATAATTTTTTTTTTGAAAATTTTATGAAAAAGTTTATGTAATTATAAAAAAATAAATTTTCTTCAAAATTACCCATATCTGCTAATCCAACTTCTAAAATGTTTAAAAAAAAAAAATCTTTTCTTTTCTTAATAGATCCAAACAAACGAAACCATAAAAATAAAGAATGTATAAAAATCTCAGTCCATTTATATGTGCATACATACATGTATATGCATTTGATGGATATAGAACTATAGATACTGATTTAAATAAACACTGCAAGTACATATAGATTCTATACCCTTCAGCGCTAACATGAGTGATGACCACCACAACCACCACCACCACCAGTAACTCAACCAATGCAGGTGTAGCACTATTCTCTTCGGCTTCGTCTTCATCTTCGCTATTGGCTTCCAAATCTGAAACAAGAACAATCCGAGCTTCTCTGCAATTCAAACCACAACAACAACCACTCCGTCTCTCTGCTATTCACGACTCTTATCTCTCTGGTAAGTAAATCTAGAACCCCCAAATCGATGTTCAACCTAGAAATTTCTTCTACATAAATTACGTGTTGATTCACCAGCATTTTTCGTGTTTCTCTGTTCCGATCATTACTTGTTATAAGAGATCAATGCTTGATCTGTGAATGGACCATTTTTTTTATTTTAGTTTTTTTTTTTTATTATTTTTTTCATTTCGCCCAATATAATTTCAAATTTTCGGATGAAGATGTGAATGGTGTGAAAATGATGGCTCGATCTGTGAGAATTATTGTATAATATTAGTGGTTGTTAATTGAAGTTGCATTTATTTGTGGGGTTGTTTCATCCGCAAGTGAACAGAAAAAAACAAATTATATGCAATTTACGTATGACTGTGTGTGCAATGAATGAAGAGAAAAAAAGAGGGTTTTTTTGTTAGAGTCTTTTGTGGGTCATAAAAAAAATGTAAGTATTGTCGTGATGTGGGAAAGAAGTATTCTAATGAAGTATACATGCAAGTGTGGAAGCGACAGTCTTGGACATTGTGAGACTGTGAAGTGTATGTGTTGTGCTGCACCGATGAAAAAGGAAAATAAAAACACTGTATGCTGTTAATGTTGTGACTTGTGAAGCTAAAGTCGGCAAAGTTTGGTATATATATCGAGTGTAAGCCCCAAACAAGGGGAGTGTGTGGTGAATTGCGAAAAGAGAGAAGAGAAAAGTTGGCAGTGTATGAGTGCGTGGCTTGGGTACCAAGAAGCGTGTGTTGAGGGACGAATAGTGTTGGGTAGAGGTGGTGAAAAGAAGTACAGAGGGTGGTGAGAGACAGTGTAGCGAGGCTTTTGGGGTATTTTTTGTTCTTGTATTTACTTAAGTTTTGTGTATAACTCGAATAGAAATCCTCCATAAATTTTCTTTTCATAGTGGAATATTGTTGGTTTGTCCCGTGGTTTTTCCCCTCTATTGTTGGTGGGTTATTCCACTCTAAAGTTGGTGTCCTCGATCTCTTCATTTTCCCCTATATTTTGTTTACTTGTTGACTGGCTTGGGGCTTTAAATTCTTGAATTTGTCTTTGTTTCCATCAATCCACACTCGGATTGGGATTGTTTCCCAAAACTGTTCTGTTACAAGCTCTAGCCAATTCAACATGTAATTATCAAACACATGGAATCTGATCCAACTAAGAGGGTCGTTTGAAAAAAAATTCATATTAACATGTATTGTGTTTTAATCATGTTTTTTATGGATTATATTTTCATTTACAAAGGATTATTATTAGTCATGTTCTTTTTCCCTTTTGTGAAAAGGGATTTCTTTTTCTTTCTTTTCTTTATTTCTTTTTTCCCACTCTGAGAACCACTATGAACCATAAAAATTTCTCAGCATACCTTGAATGGTTTTTGAGTTAATAGTTTCTGTTTTGAAACTTGCTTGTAAGTTTATTATCTTTCAAATCTATATATATTTTGAAGTAGTCATTTGTTTCTTACTTAGACTGAAGTATCCTTTTGAACTTTTAAGGGTAGTTATTTGTTTATTGCTTAAACTGAAATTTCCTAGTGAACTTTGTAAGGACATTTGACATTCTTTATATTATCATATTCCTGGCCTGCCTTGTAATTTATTTATTTATTTTTGGTTTTTGTTTTATGCAGCTGCAAATATGGATGTTGGTGGAGGTCCAAGTTTATTTCCACTGCATCGGTGCAAAACTATTCACTTGGTTGGTGTCAATCTGTATCAATCTTATTTTTGTTCACATATATAAATTCAGTTGTTGGTGTCAGTTTATTTTTTAATTTATATATTTAGATATGTATGTGTATATATGGTGCTTTGTGAATTTGAAGCTACTTCCTTTTGAGTTTGAAGGACATTCAAGATTTGCCTTCTCTCTTGGTTTTTTCTCACAAGGTATTATACAACCATACATCCAGGTGAGGCACGCACAAGGGATTCACAATGTAGAAGGAGATAAGAACTATAAAGCATATATGTCTCCTGAATATTTTGATGCACACCTTACTCCACTTGGCTGGCAGCAGGTAGGAAATCAACATTTTTATGCTCGTGTAAAGTCAATTGATTGCAGACTTTTATCAATTATGTTACCTATTTAGTCTTGAACAAAATCGTGAATTATTATGAGAAAACAAAAACCTCTGCCATTGTATCAGGTTGATAATTTGCGTAAACATGTTCATGCATCTGGGCTTTTCAACAAGATAGAATTGGTCATCACATCTCCTTTGCTAAGGTATTGATGCTGGTATTCAGTACTCCTAGACAGCTTTCCATGGTCTTTTCTACATCATATTTGTCTATATCTGAAAATGTACCACCTCAAAATCTTATGGTTTTTGCATATTGTTTTTGATAAGCTTGGTAAAAGTTTATTTTATTCATTTATTTTTATTTTTTTTTAAAAAACTGAATGTTAATGATCTTAGTTGAATATTAGGGCTTAGGATTATGATAAATCTTCTTACTTGCTTTGGAGTGCAAAAGCCTTCTGAAATTTGCATTTGTAAGTATAATTGTAGTTCTGAAAGCATTGATTTATTTTAGTTTCAAGTGTAATTGTAGTTTTAAAATTGTTGATTTATTTTACTAGAACTAGAAGGTTTTTTTTTTTATGAACATTAGATTCATAATTTACAAATTTAGTTTTTTTGTTTGTCATACTAAGTTTTTATGTCCACTTCTATAATTTCATTGAGCTTTAATGATTCAATGAGTGTGATGGATATGACTGCAATCAGTTTGAAAGTAGTATAATTATGATTATGGAGAGAGTTGCAGACCTGTGATTGCAGATCTTCTTTGATTTCTTGATAAACCCTTGGTTGCACATGGAGTCATGGCAGTATGGCACAACCTATAGTGTATGCAGACGAACATGTATGTGTAATTGAATACTTTTGTGCACTAGTCATTATATAATCCTTTTCTTATTATGGTATCAGTGGGGGAAGCTTTAGTCAGTGTGATAGGAGTAGGGATGTTTTCTGTGGTGCATTCTAAGGGCTTTCGCAAAATATATCTAATGTCAATTGAACTTGTGTATGGAACATGCAAACAGATTTTAAGGACTTTTCTTTTTTTACCTAAGGTAATTTACTCGTAATAATATTCAGAATTTGACATATGGTTCAAAAGGAAATGGAGCAAAATAAAATTATCAAAGCTTCTAAATTTGAAGCTCTAAAACTAATACATGCTTTCCATATAAATGAAAACAAGGAACTTTTTTCCTCTTACTCAATTAATTCTTCTTTTATTAGTACGTTTGCTTACACTTGTAAATTTTGACCCGTATTGTCTAATCTATTATATCTAAAGATTAATCATGCTCTTTGGAATTGAATTATGAGTTATTACTCTGTCAGAAGGTCATCCATAATTAGGTATTTCATTGATTTGAATATTTTGATTTTAGTGAGCACAATTTTTAATATTGCTCTATTATCTTTTCCTTATGTGGTGTTGAATTTGCAAATGGATTCTCCGGATGTATAATCTTTATCAAGTTTAATTAATTTAATGTCTTCTCGATATTGAGTAGAGAGATGATTAGTTTTAGTAAGAAAGGACATTATTTGGCCATAAATTGGTTCAATTATATGAAAGTACTACACAAAATAGCTAATTAAGTTGACCTTTCAGCTCCACTTCTGAGTTACTAACTAGTTATTGTTGAAGGCATGATAAAGTATTCTAGCTTTTCTGTTTCCTCCCTCCATTCAGAGCATGAACATGGTGTGCATTTCTTTCTAGAAGCATGATTTGGTTATTAATTGTTTCATTCCTCGGGTTGTGATTACTTTGAATTTGAAGGACTATGCAAACAGCCGTTGGAGTATTTGGCGGTGATGGCTATACGGATAGGATTGATGTACTTCCACTAATGCTGGCAAATGCAGGAAACAGTGGTCGTTCTGCAATTTCAAGTCTTAATTGTCCACCTATCGTTGCAGTAGAACTTTGTCGAGAACATTTGGTAGGTCGAGCAAAAAACTTGTGCTTGTATGTTTGATAATTTATTGTTTATATTGTTTTACATGTTAATTTAGAGACTTTGCAACAAGTTTTGACGTGATTCTCGAGAATTATTTAAAATGCTTGGGCTAGTAAGAATGTTGGACATGTGTTTATTATTTATGAGGTGGTGATCTGAGTTGCTCGCATGCGTAAATCTGGGCATTAAGACATTACTTTGAAGTTATTTCAGCTTGTAGTTTTACACAGATTGAAATAGTTGGGTTATTCCTTTGTACCTTCTTAGTTCTTGTTGAAACAAGGATTCAGTTACAAGCGGGAATGATGTCATATCTGCAAAGAAAGAAGGAATAATTTGAAAGGGCACCGGTGTGGTACCGGCCGGAGGGTTTCTGACAATCAAGTTAGTACTAGATAGTAAAGAGGAAGAAGAAAAGACTCTAATGAGTAACTTTTTTCGTGCCTTTTGGTTTCTCCATCCTCTCATTTATAGAGGTTACCTTGGTAGTAATATCCATCTAGGAAACTGCTCCCTTTCTTTGCCCATTACGAAAAAGAAAGTAACATCCTAGAGGCTGTTGGTGTATCTCTCTCCCCTAGATGTCCGTGTCGCTTGAACTTCCTTGCTGGACTAATATTCCTTATTAGTTATCCCTGTTCTCGAGTTTGCTTGTCAATCATAGGGAACGCCAAGCCATGTCTGGCCTGTTCCTCGCCTCACTTGATTGACAAGTTAGCCAAGCAAATATGTATTGAAAGCAAAATGACAGATGTATCACAATGATTACTTATGAGCCGAATAATAACTGCAAATATTGAAAGGATACCCTCAAGATATAATTTGAGCAATGAAAATTTAGGAAATAGTGATAGGCTAGTCTAAATAACAACGATGCACACTACGTCTATTACCACCCTACTTCGTTGTTGATGAGTAGATCATTGGGTCAAGTGCAGAAAACACCCCTAAAGTATGCTTACAGCGCATATCACACTCCTCACGTGCAAAAATACCCCTAAAGTTTCAATTTGGTGCAAATAAGTCCCTCTGACAAATTTAAACCCTAAGTTGACTAAATTACCCTTACTGAACCATTTTATAAAATATATAAAAATTAATAATTTTGTAAAATGACTGAAAATGACACTATTGGAGGATGCCCTTCTTGTGCAAAAAACACCCCTAAAGTTTTAATCTGGTGCAAATAGGCCCCTCTAACAAATTTAAACCCTAAGTTAACTAAATTACCCTTATTGAACCATTTTATAAAATATATAAAAATAAATGATTTTATAAAATGACACTATTAGAGGACGCCGACAATGGACAAGTAAAGATAAAAATATAAAATAAAAATAAAAGTATAAATGAAAAGTAAATATAAAAATAGAAAATAAAAAACAAAAATAAAGTGCAAACCAAAGAAAACAAAATTTTTCCAAACTCCGAAAACCAGTGCCCATTGATATTGGGAATATAATTTTTTTTTTTTTAACAGTGTTGGTACGAAAAAAAGTAAAATAAAGAAAAAAAAAAAATTAGTAGAAAAAAGTAAACTGGAATCTCAAAAAATTCAAATCCTTGTTCTACAAATTCTTAAAGTTTTAAAAAAAAAATGTTTAAAGATATATATAGAGAAAAAAGTTTCAAAAAATATATATATATAAGGTAATGTGCACATAACACCCCTATACTATGAGATTAGTACCTTGGGCATTTTCGGTTCCGACGTCCCAAGAGGTTGGTTATGGCATCCAGGACGTTGGTTCGGCTCTTGTTAAATTTGACGAGTTGCTAGTTTTTGAAATAAAACGCAGAGTATCTTTTGGCTACCTCTAAACCAATGAGCGGGCCCCACATCTTGGAAGCCATAGTAACCTTGATTCTTGAATGATTCAAGTCACGGTTGGGGATCCTTTGCTAGGACATCTAATATTCGCCTGTGCTTTGCCTGAGGTATTAGGGATCAAGCCTCACATTGAATTTGAATTTCAAATTGCGAGCTCAAATTTCAAAGTGCGAGCTTATCAACCACAACTTTTGCCGTTGTCGACCATATCTTCCTTCCTTTAAAAGGACAATAAACAGAGTTGAAAAAAAATCTTCCCTTCTTGTTTATTTCATAGTTGTACTCATTTTAGTGAATTATCTTGTTCCATTTATTCTGAAATCTCGAGTTATTTATTTGAATGTGACCATGGACATCGATAACAACTATCCCTTTAAGCCTCAGTATGATGGCTTCATAGATAGTGAGAATAACCATCCCTCTGAGTGTGAGGATGATGATCCCTCTGAATGCGATGGTGACTCTGATAACTCATCATCGAGGACTCCTATTCAACTGTGCGGGACTACCCCCTTTGTTATTACTGACGAGGATTTAGTTATTCTCCAATCTTCGTATTCAATCCCACAATCTATTACCCTTCAAGTCCTATGGCCTCACGAGAGGGCTTCTTCGGCTAATGATGGCAAAATATGCCACACTGAGTTTAACGTGCCGGACTGAGACTCCCTTTTCATCCCTTCATAAGGGAGCTATCTAAGAAGCACGGACACAGTACGGGACACGGACACGACACCGACACGGTGACACGGCAAATCCAAAAAAATTAGGACAAGGACACGGCGAATAGTATACATATACTCCCTTTTCATCCCTTCATAAGGGAGCTATCTAAGAAGCATGGACACAGATACGGGACACGGACAAGACACCGACACGGTGACACGGCAAATCCAAAAAAATTAGGACACAGACACGGCGAATAGTATACATATACATATATATATATACACACACACATATATACATATATATATATATACACACATATATACATATACACACACACACACACACACACACACACACACACACATATATATATATGATGTAGTATTTTAAAAATTACTGAGTGTTGCTATTTTTCATCAACCTCACAATGAAAAAAAAACACAAATCATAACTCATAACTAATAAACTATAAAAGAACAATGTTGCAGAGTTATAAAACCAAATAAAAAACAAGACATTAGAATAATAACTAGTATCATTTAATTATCATTGCAACTTTACTCCAAATACAAAAGCATAGACAGAAAGGACTATTAACATTCATGACTGTTTAACATTCAGGACTTTACTGTTAGCACTTAACATTCACAAAAACCTAAAGGTTAGTCCCCAAAAAAGATACAAAAACAAGTCAGTGTACTATCATCTATTCCCATCCATCATTTGACCTAGGACTTTTTTACCATTTACACTACCAAAAGGGTAGTACAAAACAAAAAAAAGAACATATCAGCATTAAAAAAAAAAAATTTTCCAGAAGTGTCTGTGCCGCGGAGTGTCCGAGCCGTGTCCAAAAATTAAAAAAAAATAAAAAATTCCAGACACGTTTTTTGGCTTGTCCGACAAGTGTAGGGGCGTGTCCAACACGTGTAGGGGTGTGTCCTTGTCCGACACGTGGCGGACACGGATTCTTCGCCCATTTTGGAGTGTCCGTGCTTCCTAGGGAGATATTTACTGTCCTTAAACTTGCCCCAGTTAATTAACCCCAAATGCTTGGAAAACTTTGATCGGGTGCTTGGTGTTATGGCGATCTTGCGGCAACCCACCATTGGCTATTAATGAGTTCCTTCATTGTTATTCCCTGAAGAAGGCGGGTGAATGGTGTTGCTTAGCCAAACAAGGCACCAAGGGCTTGATCAAGGGGCTTGCTTCCAGTGTCAAAGGCTGGAAAGAGCGCTTTTTCTTTGTCTCCAGTGATTGGGAATTTTCACCCTAGGATGATATTGTTGAACGAGGGATATTCATCCCTCGGAAGTGGAGGACGCTAAACCTCAAGGGTGAGTGCAACATCTGTTTGCACTAAACCTCTTAAGGTATTGATACTATTTTTTAACATTTTTCAAATGAGCACCATGCTTGTCGGATGAAGCGTGCGCAAGGGTAAGGAATGCACTTGACCACGAAGTAAGTTTCTTTTCCTCTCTAGTTACCTCACTTTCTATATTCGGTGTCGGCCTTAGTCCTAGGATTTCGATATTAGCAATTGAACTTTCAACCCTCCGACGATTACATAGAATAGGTATGCCACTCCTCGTAATTTACAATTGGGTCCCTTTCCATTTTACGCTTAATCCCATATTCTTGTTCCCTTTGAAGGAGTGTCCGATATGTCATCGAATAAATTGAAGATAGGCATCCTTTTGCATCTCCGAGATGAGCGAAGCAACTGTCCTACCCCATGGATGCTAAAGAAGAACTGGACACCCCCACTTCGAGGGAACTCCACTTCTTGGACTTCCTCCTCATTCCCAATGGCACAGGCAGACGCGAGTGGTGCAAATCACGAGTGACCCCCACTGCCGCTGCTAAAACTGGTTTATCATCACCCTTCGGGGGCGTTTATTTAGGACAACCCCAGATATGTGCTCACTATGCTGACTGGGGCGTTGCAGATGCAACTGGACCTACATAGGATGGAGTGATATGCTTCCCTTGATGCCATCTTTGGGTCGCTTGCGCATGACATTGTATGGGCGAGACCATTTTGTTGCTTTTTTGGGCTATCTTGACGGCTCCTTTTTTTTTTATCCCTTTTACATTTCCCATTATAGACTTTATTCTTTATGTAGAGTGCAGTGCATGCCATGGAATTGATTTCTCAAGCTGCCATTCTTGAGGACGAGTAAGGGCGTGTTTCCATGGAGCTTAAGGGTGAGAAAAAGAGTCGTCAAGCGGCTGAAGCTCCCTGGCAAGGGGAAAGGTCCGACCTTATGTCAGAGGTGGAGGGGTTGACAAGAGAAATGTCTAGCAAGTTGGAGATGGAGAGGTCACAAGCAGTGGAAGAGTACAACACCTGTGTTGATTTCGACCTGATCACCTCTGGGTTGTTCTATGACAGTTTCGAGGAGTTTCAATGTAAACTCTCTATCACACACCCATATATGGACCTGAATCAATATCAGATCTTGGAGGAGTCTGAGGGCTCGTCAGATCCAGGAGTGGCCCAATGACCCATAGGTGACGCGGGACTCCATATATTTATTGCCATGTTTGCTTTGTTCAAGCGAGAGACTATGTTGCTTATGTATGGAAGACTGTGTCATTTTCGTTATGACTTTCATCCCTTAATGGAAAGAGATTTTAGATTGGGTCACTCTCTTTTGACACAGGATTGATTAGTTTTACCCAATGTAAGACACATTGGCCATGATTAGGACTGAATCTTATTCAACTAAGCCCCTTATAATATAGGGCACTGTTATATCTATCCTTGTGCAGGATGTCAACTATAGGCTTCACTTAGCTCGGCTCATATCAACACTGGCTACGGGCTTCACTCAACCCTGGCACTTATAGTATGGGGCACTTTAATTAATCTCGGCCCTGAGAATCTCAAAATTTTGAAGGGCCCTAGGCAAACTTTCAAATGCGAGGCCCTTTATACATAAAGTTTCACATGTGCAAAAATTTATATTAGTGCGGAATTTTCATTAAAATGAGATGATAAGCACATAAAATATATTAATGTTGAAAACACACAAAGCAAAAGAGTACGATCCAATTTACATCAAAAAATTAAAAGGAAATATTCAACACAATTTAGTCACAAAAATCAAAATTCAACTTCATATCAAAGTAAATGTGATCGTCTTGCATTTTGAGCTGCAAAATTATCAATTAAAGTGCTTCAATCAAGTTTTCTAACATATATTTTTCAATAGATATCATAGGCAATCCATTTAGTCTCTCTTGTGTGACATCGTCGACTATAGGTAAGATTTGATCTACTTCAACTTTGAAAAGCTTCTCTAAGAAGATGCAACTGTAACTGAAATAGTCAATAGTACTTTATATACAATCCAAGCATTTGAAAAATAATAAACTAGCCTTTTTATAAAATCCAATACTTCAATTGCCTTTTTTGTTCCCCTTGGTAAAGCTTCTCTTGTAGTTCTGAAAATAATTATGTCCCATCAATATCAAAAGCCATGTCACGTGTTAAGACATCTTCAAGGTTATTTGGAGAATGTGACAATTGATTGCACTCATGAGTTAAAAATTTGGTTGTTTGGATTGGGCTTAACGAAGCCTGTCATGCACGCACACGAGCCCAAAAATAATGTAATAATGAAATAATAAAAATAAACCAGTTTCTGAGTTTAAATTAAAAAAAAATTCTTTTTTCTTTTGAAGGGAGGGGACATAAACAAATTATTGTTACCATAAAAATTATTGTATTACATATATAAATTGATTTCATAATTATGTGTGTTTATTGGCATATATTTTTTTTGAAAGTTATTTATTGTCATAAATTTACATGATATGTAAGTGTGTGTATTGCCGTTTAATTATGGAAATTATGGCCTGAAATGGACATGTGTTTGGCTTTTAATTGGTTACTACTGTTACGTGGGACTATGGAAAGTAGTGACATTTTAGACACATTCTACTATAGTTGCACAATAATTCTAAATCTGAGGCCCTAGGCGACCACCTGGGTCTCCTATGCCTAGGGCCAGCCCTGACTTCAATATCGATCCCTAATAGTATAGGGATGATGGCTGCGGGCTTCACTCAGCCCAAGCTTTAAATCTGTCAGGTAGAAAAGATGAGAAAGGACCCTAGCTGTATCGAAAGAGGTAGAGAAGCTCCTGAAGGCCAATTTTATTCAGCAGGTAGACTACCTCAACTGACTATCAAACGTAGTTTTGGTTAAAAAACCAAACAGCAAGTGGAGGTTCTGTGTTGATTTTGCAGATTTGAATAAGGCATGTCCTTATGATAGTTTCCCTTTTGTCGAGAATCGATATGTTGGTGGAAGGGATTGCGGGGCATGAATTGTTTAGCTTCATAGATGCTTATTCCGGGCACAATCAGATCCCATGTATGCTCCTTGCAGTGAGAAAACCTCCTTCATCACCGATAGAGGCCTATATTGCTACAAGGTGATGCCATTCAGATTAAAGAATGCTGGTGCAACCTACCAAAGATCGGTCAATATGATGTTTAAGGAGCATATATGGAAAAATATGGAGGTGTACGAAGATGATATACTGGTGAAAAGCCTGAGAACAACCATTTGGCTGATTTACAGGAGGCCTTTGACATTCTTAGGGCACACAAGATGCGCCTGAATCCCAGTAAGTGCGCCTTCGGGGTCCTTGGGAAAGTTCTTAGGGTAAATGGTAAGTAAGAGAGTAATCGAGGCAAACCCAGAGAAAATTCAGGCAATCCTAAATATGAGGTCACCAAGGTCTACCAAAGAAGTCCAAAGACTTGCAAGGAAGGTGGCAGCCTTAAATAGGTTAATCTCCTGCACCACAAACAAGTGCCTTCTTTTCTTCCGAATACTCAAAAAGGCTTTTGAGTGGACACCAGAGTGTGAGCAAGCATTCATTGGGTTGAAAGAATGCCTTAGTTCACCACCACTGTTATCTCATGCAATTCCTGGAGAAGAATTGCACCTTTACCTAGTAGTCTCATCTGTGGTGTTCAAAGGCTGGTGTACTAAACGAGTCGCGTACTTTGGGGAGCAAAAGAAAGATATCCAATGAAGGAAAAATTGACCTTTGCTTTGGTCATGTTAACTAGAGAGCGACCATACTTCCAAGCCCACATTATAGTGGTGTTCACATATCAACCACTTAGGCAGGTCCTTTATAAGGCAGAAACATCCGGACGTCTTATGAAGTGGTCAGTTGGGAAAGTTCGACATCCAGTACAAACTGAGAGCCGTAATAAAAGGCCAAGCACTTGCAGATTTTGTGGCAGAGTTTTCCTATCCTCCGGAACAAGCTGAGGTCCTGGCCCAGCCACCCAAACGATGATCAGGAGCAGATGCATTACTTGGTCACTTTATGTTGACAGATCATCCTACACTCGAGCCTGTGGAGCAAGATTGATGATTATCTCTCCAGAGGAAGAGAATTTGAAGTACTCGATTTGGTTTCAAAACCACCAACAATGGAGCAGAGTACGAGGTTCTGATAACTGAGTTGAAGCTAGTGAAAGCCTTCAGAGCCCAACGATTGAAGGTGTATACGGATTCTCAGCTGGCTGCAAGACAAGTTTGTGATCAGTACGAAGCTAAGGATGATAAAATGAAACTCTACTTGCAGAAGGTAAGGGAGGTAAGGATGATAAGATGAAATTCTACTTGTAGAAGGTAAGAGATTTAGTTGGCCTCTTTGAGAAGTTTGTGATGCAGTAGATATTGCAAGGCAAGAATGAGATGCGGATGCCTTGGCCCGATTGGCAGTACAATAGAGCTAGAGAGCACCAAGGCTATATCACTGGAATACTTGGGAGAGCCCAACATATCCCAAGAGCATAAAGAAGTGAACAAGTTGGTGCCAGGGTTGGAATGGGTAGATTCAATTGTCAAATACATTAAGAATGGCGAATTACCGCCTCACCCACACCAAACTGAGGCCCGAAAAGTAAGGATCTGAGCACCCAAGTACACACTCGTTGATGGGGATCTCTACAAAAGAGGTTTCTCTTTGCCCTTTCTACGTTGTGTCTCAACGGAGGAAGCTCGCTATATCATGAACGAGATACACGAGGGCGCCTGTGGAAACCATGCAGGGGGCAGATCATTGGCCTACAAGGCAATTCGACAGAGGAATTGATGTTGATGTCGAGTCTATGGCCTTTCGCTCAATGGGGAATGGACTTAATTGGTCCTCTACCTAGGGGGAAAAGTCAAACTAAGTTCACTATGGTGACAATTGACTACTTCACCAAGTAGGTGGAATCCTAATCACTGCTAACCTTCCGGCCGTTACCACACCAGTGCGCTTTCAGATTATTCCTTCTTTCTTTGCAGATACGACATTGTTCCTGGTTGTAACTGAATCTTGCATCAACAGTTGGCATTGTCCGGGGGGAATCGTTATTGGAGCCAACTTTTGATGCAAGATTCAGTTACAATCGAGAACGATGCCGTATCTGCAAGGAAATAATGAATTATCTAAAAGGGTGTTGTGGTATCAGCCGGACGGTCTCTGACGATCAAATTAGTATTTAGATCGTAAAGAGGAAGGTAAAAATACTCCGATGAATAACTTTTGTCGTATGTTTTTCCAACCTCTCATTTATAGAGGTCCCCTTGGTAGTAATGTCTATCTAGGAAACTTCTCCCTTTCCTTGACCATTACGGAAAAGAAAGTAACATCCGAGAGGCTGTTGGTGTATATCTATCCCCTGGACTTCCGTGTCGCTTGAACTTCCTTGCCGGACTAATATTCCTTATCAGTTCGTTTCATATTCTTGCAAGTTTAAATTTACGTTGCTTAGTTAACCCTAAACTGTTGATGTGAGGTAATCTTCGTGTAAGTTGGTGACATTTGTTTATTCTTGGACTGGGTAATTGTCAGAAACATCTGATGTTCTTGATGCAAAAATAGTTCAGGCCCATCTTTTATACAATTCTTTGAGGTTTAAACACAGGCTATTGAAACTCTCCTAAACTTGGCTTGTGATATTTGGTGTTGCGTCTTTATAAGAAAAGCATATTTCCTGCTGTAGAGTGGCCTACTGAAGTATTCACATCTAAAGTGTTGAAATTTTATAATTTATATACTTTTGGTTGCAGGGTGTTCATCCTTGTGATAAAAGGAGCAGCATCAGTGACTATCAATGCCTCTTTCCTGCAGTTGATTTTTCACCGGCAAGTACTCAACTATCTAGGATATCTTTTTTTTCTTTAAAAAAAACCCGAGCTTAAATTTCTGGACGTACCTGTAAATTAGTGCCAAACATTTATATGATATGCTTTTCACCTATTGTTGACTGATGGAGATTCAGGCAAGGTTCTTGTTATGTGGCAATTGATTATTTCTGTTCAGATAGAAAGTGATGAGGATATATTATGGAAAGCCAATATTAGAGAGAAGAAGGAAGAAGTTGCAGCTAGGGGAATGAAGTTTATGAATTGGTGAATACCTTTTCTTCTTCTGCTTTATGATAATTAACTATTATGCTAGATGATACAAGTTTCATTAGGTTTTAACTTCAAATTGATATTTATGTTGATGAAGTGGATTTGTATTGATTATGTTATATCTTCGCATATGTTAAAGCAAGGATTGCTGAGATGACTTTCAAAAAAACAAGGAAAAAGAGAGATGACTTACTGTAGCTGCACTCACAAATTAGGCATCTGCACGAAACTCAATCTCTTAGCGTGTTAACCATCTATTCATGTTGGACTGCAAAACCAAATCTAAAATAGATTATGTGCACAAGAGAAAAGGGGCATTTCATTGAATGATCTATTGGCTTTGCATGATAACTCACCGGTGTGAATTTTATGAGCCATTGGTGTCTACTTTTCTAGATAAATAATATACTTTTTCCATTTCTTGTTTTGTACCTTCGGCCTCAACTTTAATCGAAAGGACATATGCATCTAAAATTGTAATTTGTAATAATTGTGCAGGGGTCCATAAGACTTTTTGACAATTCCTTTTCGTCTAAACAGGTTGTGGACACGGAAAGAGAAGGAGATAGCGATTGTTACCCATAGTGGATTCTTGTTTCATACACTAAGTGCTTTCGGCAACGATTGTCACCCTTCGGTGAAGAAAGAAATCTGCAAACAGTTAAGTGTTCATTTCGTTTGATAAGTATATACATTAAATAGAGGCCATTGCTTGGTACGATGGTAAAGTGCTCGGGCTGCCAAGTCTGAGATTGTGAATTTGAATCGGAGAACATTTACTTTGTGCAAATACTTTCCGATGTTATGCTCAAATTCACTCTACCTCTGTTAGCACCATGCATTGACCTGACCAAAACTGGGTAATCCCCTAATTATGACTACACAGTGCATGTTCACAAGGCCTCTTGTTTTAGCTGAAGACCAGTTCCAATGAACCCTTTTTGAGTGTGTATGTCAGTATTTGTATCCTGATGGATTATGTGTTACTCCGTATTTGTTAAGCATTCGTCATGCTTGAGAACAAAAACTCAAAAATGTTTATCCAAATGTGTTCCTTCCTTTTTTATTCCACTTCTCTTGGGAAATAATATGAAGAATTTTATTTTTATTTTGCTTGAAGTTCCAAAATAAATATTTAAAAAAAATCCTTTGCTAGAATATATATGTTTTTCTTTAAGAATCAAACAATACACTCCATTATCTCATCAAGCTTAATGCTCATAGATAATGACTTATAGGTTTGAAGGATGAATTTCCCGTGTTGTGCATGTGCGTACTTGTTGCACTTCTCATATTTGGTTTGCGCTCTTTATATAAAATTTTCTAGATAGAATCATTTTTTACTCAAAATAGGAAAAGAGAGTCGGAAGAAATAGTTATTCCAAATATGAGCTTATAGGTTTTTTTTTTTTTGTTTATTTATTATTATTATTATTTTGGCTGGTTGGTGAGAGAATAATAGGCTTTCCCATGCAACTTTGTTTCTTTAAGCTTCTAAAATAGGTCAAAAACGTCTCATAAGTAAACATTCTACTAAGAAAAACACAATTTGAAAAAGAAAAGAATAAAAAATAAAATCAGCGCAAACATTCATATCTTTTGTTATTTTGCCTTCATTAGAAGTAAGAAATGACTTATGCAACATGTATGTGCAGTTTTGCGAATTGTGAGCTCCGCTCCATGGTCATTGTAGACAGAAGGTGAGCCTTGTCATTTCTATGTCCTCCTATGTGAATCTGTTTTCCGTTCTTGACTTAATTCAACATATATCTGTTCTCCAGTATGATAGGGTCAGACTCCTCAACGACTAACTATCCGGGGAAAATTCCTCCTGGGCCTGATCACCCTAGTGGGCCTAGTGATGTTGCTGCGGATGAGAAGAACCTAGAGAATGAACTGCCCAATCCTGGATCTAAATGAGATGGAGAATGTCATTATTCAGAGGTGCTTATTCATATATTAAGCTGAAAATCCCTGGTATGATAGAATAGCATCATTCGTGGGACTCTCTTGTTCGTATAGATGATGATGTCACATAATACATGCTGTTTTGATTTCATGAGACTAATTCAAGATTTGTTCCGGAAAAAAAGGTTGATTGGTTAGGGAGCACATCCATATAAAAAATGGAGTAGCAGAGCTGCATTTTCATTAGATGTAGAAAGCACTGTCATATCATAGTCACGCATCATCATAACTGCTGAAAATTTCTGTCAACCTAAATTTATGATTTCAGTCGAGTCATAAAAAATTTGCCTGTTTAAATACTTCAAGTTCTTAACCTTGTCTTCTGCTTCCTAAATATTAATCTGACATATGAATGATAATGTCATCCCAAACTCTTGTCCCTCTATAGTCTACATTAGGTTCATTAGAACTGCACCAGCTTGTCATTTGAAAAGGCAAAGGGTGGTTGTGCGAACGAAACTAAATCCCACCCTCTCCTAGCTCAAAATATAGGAATATACTTCTTAGAATTCTCTACTTGAACTCAGAGACATGTTCTTCTTGTTCAATAAATTACTGGAACACAGTAATAGTACCAGCACATTCTCAGCTTTAGGGTTCTAATAAAAGTTCTACTTTTACTGCGAACCACGAAGATGTGAATTTCCTTTGTAGTTCTGAAGAAAAGAAATCCACTAATCTCCGGTAGCACAAAATGCAATAGCAATTCATCCTCCTGTTTAGCGAGAGGTGAATCATTTGCACTCTTGACCCGGCTCCTTTGTTTCATCACTCAAATCCTCCGTCTTCCCTGTTTACAGGTGACTTGAACCTGGCAAGATCATTACGGCCATCTAACTTCTTTTTGTAATCTATAGAGTAATCTCATTCAACGTACTGATCCGATTCTCAACCCCACTTCAAGTGTAATCCATCCGTGAAATGTCTCACTTTGAGGTGTTCAGTCAGTTTTACCAACTATCCAACACATGAAGAAAACGACGAAAACACACAATTCAAGCAAAGAAAATATCTCTGGTTGGTTTCCCATAAGAATGTCACTGAATCATAAGAACCAAAAAGATGAGATGAACATCACTAATCATGAGAGTAAAAAAGAATGAATGATCAATCATCTGTACTATGTAGCAAGAAAACCATGAGCGTCAGCACACTTCAGCAATGTAAAACAGCTTGCTGGTGACTCCTAAATGAAGAAGAGAGAGAGCTTCAGCCCTTTCCATACCACAACCAAATGCTTCCAAATGACCTAAATGCTACAACTTGAAATTCCTCTCTGGGCCACCCTCGGAGAATTTTTCTGTAATTGCTCGGTGTATATGGAATGAGTTGATTGCACATGTACCCGGTGGTGGATTAGGATGCTCTAAGAGGCCCGACACCACCAAAAAGAATTAGCATGGGTGTCACCGACCGAACTGGTCAATTTAACCCTACTCAAGTAAGTCTTTTTCCAACTATTTAGAGTTGGAGCGGGATATGTGAATTCTTTTTCGCCATTCTGCTTTATGCAAGGCCACAGTAGCAGTTGACCTAATTGATGCTACCTTCGATATTTTTTTTTTTTTGAAAAGTTTTTTCAAATCATTGATGGTTTTTGTATTGCATGTGTTTGAGAAAAATAAAGACAGTAAGCAGATGGAGTGAACTATGTGTGTTACCCACCACTTGTATTTTCAACTGGTTTTGGAGAGCCAACATTAAGGGATTTGATATATCTTCCAAGCTTTTATCAAATTTTTAGCATTACAAAATCGTATAAATCATTTAAAATGGGCACAAACAATGAGTGGTTCATGTTTTTGCTAAATTATTCGAGAGGCCTATACCCAATTTCTGTTAGGAATTTGATTAAAAGAGTTTGGCTGAATGTTGTCAATGTTGTGAATGAGACTGACAAGATAGTCAAGAATTGGTCTCATTTATGCTCGTTTGGTAGGAAAGAAGAAACCTGATGGAGGGAAGATAGGAATGAAGGAACAAATGGCGAGAAAAGAGAATGGATGACAGGAGGAGTCCTTCACAAAATTTAAGTGAAAAGGCAGGGTTAGTGTAAAAGTTTTTAAATTACAAATTTTAAGTAAAAATGACAAGGTTATTATAAAAGTTTTTAAATTACAAAATTTTTCTTATAATTAACACTTCCCCTCACTTCTCTCCTAATAAACAAAACAAAATATGGTTATTATTTCATCCTCTTATCTTGTATCCATCCAAACAGAAATAAAAAATGACTTAATATCTTCCTGAGGGATTTCTCATTCATCTATTCTTCTCTCTTTCATATTATTTGCTCATATGATAAACTTTTGTGCTGCGGTCATTTAATATTATCTGCTCATACTAAAATATTGAGGGTTCAAGTCTTCGTAAAGTCAAAATGAGTGAGCAATTTTAAAATAAAAATTTTAAAATAGAAAATTGCTATCCACTGACTAATGACATTATTTAAATTCAAGGGATAACTTGAAAAGTTGGGGTTTAGATTCATAAGGGCAACTAAGGTGTTAGAGTTATTTGTCAAAAAAATAAAAATAAAAAAGGGTATATAGCTTTCAAATTTGTTTGGTGGTGTAGAGTTTTTTTTGTTGGGAACCAAAAACACTGAGTTTTAAAAGTTTATTAAGTAAGCCCAAGGATTGTATATTGTTTTTTTGTTTAGAAAATCAAAATAGTCTAAATAGAGAAGAATTGATGGATAAAAAAATGAAATATGATTATAAAAAGGCATGGGAGAACATGAAGATGCATAGAAAAAAGTTAACTCTGTGCTGCTAAGTCAATGATTCTTCTCTTTTCATGTCCACTAGTAATCATGTCTCCATCTCATGTAAAAATCACCCATCCCCTCCAATCTCTCTCTCTCTCTCTCTCTCTCTCTCTTATATATATATATATATATATATATATATATATTTGTGTGTGTATATGCATGTGAGTGGGGTGATGAATGGGGAGCAAGTAGATGTAGTAAAAGAGTAGTCAAATTGCATCTGGGACGATTTTTGCACATAACGGGATAACATATTATTATTATACATATCACACAATATATAATTCAAAATGTTCTTGTACTTTTTTTTTTTTTTTTTTTTCCCATAATGTTTTGTACTTTCACACTAAACAAATATCATATAGTATATGTTGAACAAAAACATAAATATAGGAGAGTAATTTCATATATAATATAATATATATAATTTTTTTTATTTATATATATTCAGATAGCTTCAACTTTATTCTAGAAATTATAAATTAATTAAATTTTTATAGTTGTCTTAATCAATATATATATATATATATAAATAAAATTTTCTATTTATATTAATCATGTTCATGTCCTATACGTGTCTTACTTTTTTAAAATTTAATATATATAGATACATCCGTATTGCTTCCATGCTTTTTAGTTCTCAAATTAGTCTTTAGTTATATATACATATATATATATATAACAGAAGCATGTGTAATGGTAATGAATTATATATAATTTAAGCTTGTTTAATGGCGATGAGATGTAATGGTAATGAATTATATATAATTTAAGCCTGTTTAATGGATTTGAATTAACATTTTTAACATATATATATAAATTTCTTTTTTCATTTCTTTGTTTAATAGTTTGCTTTACACATTATAATCAAACATTTCACGATTAGGTTGTTCTGACTTTAAAGGACAGTAAAGTTGCAAGTGTTGCAAGTAACAGAAACTATCTATTGTCTCCCGCCAATTACACGCAATTAACAGTCACAAACCCTACCTTTCACGCTGTTCATGTAAATTGTTTACTCTTTTCGATAATATATATATATATATATATATATATATATATATATAGAGTAGTATTTAGCTTAGCTTAACCAACCCTTATTATTTAAAAAATGTACAATTTTTCATATAAATGGTTAGTATATAAACAACGAATCTAATGAACTCCCAGAATATTCACCTGAATCTAATGAACTATGAACTTTTTATTTTATTTATTGGAATTTTACTTTTTTTTAGACACCTACTCAAGAAGACCATTGAATTTTTTAAAAAAAGATTTTGAGATCGATTTAAATGTTTAGGAATCATTAGAAATATACATATACAATAGTGTTTAACCGGTTCTTGATAACATATACATATACATTGGAAAAATCTAGTCAAATTAATTTAATTTAGTTTCTTTTAATCACAAGTCTAGTTTTTCCATTTTTAGTTAATAATATATATATATATATATATATATATATATATATATATATATATATAATATAATATAATTATATATATACTTGTTGACAACGAACTCTCACAATGCTTATGGAGATATTTGAACCGTGCCTTTTTTTGGTTGAAAGGTAAAAGACACTGTTAAAATATTGAGAAAACCCATAAAAAAAAAAAAAATACAACTTCAATAATTTTTTATTTTTATTATTCTTATTTAAAAGAAAAGAAAATATCACTGCCGTTACTTTGATAGTTCATTTTACAGCACACAAAGTGTGACCCTTACATCATCTACTACCTTATCTGCCCACCCTTTGCGTTACACTTACTCTAATTACTTTGTCCCAGTAGCTTTAATTACTCTTTTATTGTTTTTGTCACTAGCTTAATTACTCTTTCATTGTCTTCTCTTGAACCAGGTAGTGAGCATAAGCACATATTTTTTTTTTTTCCAATTCAAGGGTGTAAATGTAATTCCGTAATTCAAAATCCAATCCAGTATATACATGGATTGGGTTTGGATTGAAAATTTTAATTTAAATATAATTCGGATTGAAGTTGAGAGTTGGCCAATCCAAATTAATCCTAAACATAGCATCTTTACTTAACTTAAATTGTTTAATTCAGTTAGACTAATGTGGTTTGTTGAATCTTCAAGGAGATCCCCTCACATTTGCAAAAATTTAATCACATTCCTTACTTTTTTAAAAATGCATTACTCTCCCTCTCCGTCAAAGATGGCTTGGGACACTTTTTGCCGACATTAGCAAAAAAATGTAAAAATGTAAATTTTAATGCCTAGATTGCCCCTCAGGTCATGTTTGGCTACAAACTATATAGTAGTTGAGTCCAGCGACGCTTCCAACCTTCAGTTATGGCCTCTGTAGTGGTTAAGTCTAGCCACGCTTCAACCAAACACGACCCAACTTGACGAACCCAGTTCAATCCGATGAATCCTGACAAAGACGACCAAGCAACTCCAATTTCGGCAAGCTCCAAGGTTCGGCAAAACCCATATCAGTTCGACGATCCTACCCAGTTGTCCTTACAAACTCTACCGATTTTTGCATACTCAATAGTGATAGTTGCAAAAGTTCGCGCGCCATGGTAGATCACCGAGAGCTTCACCGGCGAAAATTGCACTGATCGGCAGCGACCAGTTGGTCTCTGCTGGTGCCATCATCACTGACGTAAATCACCGAAACAGCATATCGTCGCTGCTCATAGTACTGACCTGCTGCTCTAATTAAACTCCAACTCAACATTGTATTTGAGTAGTACTCATTATAATTTGAGTTGAGTAATGACACATATTCTGAATTTCGAGCTTGTCAAATGAAAATTATGTGAGCAAATGAAGGAATTTATGATATCATGTGTGGATTTCACACCCCACTCGATATATGATTTTTATTTGTGGGATATATTGTTCACCTGGAGCTGGAATCTTCCCCTTTCACTTTAAGGACATGAAGAATATACCATTATATCGGCTAATTTCTTTGTTAGTGGAGTAAAATAATTTAGAGAACTAACCTTAATTCAAAAGCTTGAACGTTATTCCAATTTTGATTCCAACTCTTAACTCTATATTAAAATTTTCAAATTGAATTGTATTAAAAATAAAATCCTCATATTTGATTAAAAAAATTCACACCTTAAATCGAGTCTAAGCACCATCACTTGGAAAGTGACTTGGTCACGACACATTTATTTGTTGGGTTTGGTGAGATCAATTTCTCTACCCGCTCTAGAAATCTCTTTAGAAATGGGAAGGGATAATGTTGTCTTTGTAGAAAAAGTGACATCCACTCCATGAAAATCCCGACTTCAAATATCACGTTCATACTCTGTAGCCGTTTAAAATATCAAAAGCTCCACTTGGCAGTCAAATCTCAGTCAACATTTCTCTCTAAATTCTCTCTCTTTAAGAGGGCACTGCGTTTCACATTGGACAAGTTTGAAAATATTTTAAAATCAAATCGTTTTTAATAATTTTAAAAAAATTAAAATCGAATCAAATTGTAAAATCAGTGAAACCGAATCGAACCGAATCAAACCAAATCATAAGAATATAATTTGGTTCGGTTCGAATCTACCATTTTTAGACCCTTTTTTATTTTTTTATTTTTTATAATTCAATCTAATATATATATATATATATATATATATATATATATTATGTATAGTATAATTTTTTATTATATATTATGATTAATAATTGAGTGGTTAAAATTATTTATATAATACAAAATATATGAAATTTATAAAACAGTTCCAAACCAGGTCCGATAAACCTACTGGTCCGGTTTGGTATGGTTCGGTTTCTTGATTCAATCGATTTTTTGTGCACCTTTACTTTCTCTAATTTTATTATTATTATTATTATTATTATTATTATTTTCCTTCATAGGTAAGGCTGCATACCCACCCATTTATACCCAATCTCTTTCCTATCCGATTCCGATGTGGGACAAAATGACCCTTGTTACATTCTCCCCCACCCAAACTCGCAACGCCCTCGTTGCGGTTGGGTCACCCTACCTACCCGGGTGGACTCACCCGGACGTCTTCCGGGCCGGGCGCTTGGCGTGACACAGGATTAAGGACTGGGTTTGGCTCTGATACCAACTGTAACGGGTGGACGCTTACCCATTTACCCAAAAGCTCGAACTGTTAGGTAAGGTTGCATACCCACCCATTTATACCCAATCTCTTTCCCATCCGATTCCGATGTGGGACAAAATGACCCTTGTTACACTAGGCTATATAGAAGTTCTAGTTTTAGTTTTTTTTTAAAACACTTAAATTAATTTTCAACACATTTGTTCTATGTTTCGTTATAGCAATTGACATGTACCTAGGATTAATAGGGTGGGGGCACTTTAGGCCTCGCCCTTTTACCACTTGAATGTCATGTTGTTATGACTAGAATAATGTAGTCTCGGACTATTTACCCCAAAAAAAAAAATGTAGTCTCTTAGGTAGCCACCGACCTATAATTATCCTTAAACTTCTATGCTTGGTGGAGAAGAAGCAAACAAAGGTATGCTCGCTTGCCCTTAGAGATCGAAGATCCAATGAGTTCGTTAGAGTAGGAGAACGATTTGAAACCTAAGGCAAGGGTCGCTTAAAGGGGCTCCCCCATCCTGTTCCGATTGCAATCGAGATAAGAAAACGAGTTCTGGAGTTAGAGCTTGAATGAGAGGTGAGGAGTGGAAAGACTATATATTTTCTTTTTTTTCAAGGTGAACATTTATTTTAAGAGGATATAGTTCTCAAATTTCGAGTGAACATTTATTTTGAAACGGAGGGAACAAAAATTTCAAGAGAATTGTCTCCATTCAATCTGGCCCCACCAATACCCTCAAGTGGCCCCCACCAATCCCCCAATTCCAGCTTAACGCAAATACATTCTACCATCACAACCCTTAACCTCAAACAGAACCACACTCCTCGCTCAACCAACACCACGGCAGCAAAAACCACCCCCAATTCACAAGTTGCACAAAAATTACACGAACCCAAAAGTCAGTTTAGCTAACCCCACGCCGCAGCAAAATTAAAGATCTCCTCGTTTTCTTCGGCTCTCTCCAATCTTTCTCTCTCGACAATGGACTAACACTCTTTGAAAACCTCCTAAACACTCACAACCTCTGCTAAATTGCGCCGATGGATAACTACGCCTACACCACCTCGTACGCGGAGTCCGGCGACTCCTCGCCGCGATCGCGGGAGATCGACTTCGAGAACCCTTCGCCGTGGGAGGACCAGCCACCGAACAACTACAAGGTCAAGTTCATGTGCAGTTACGGCGGCAAAATCCACCCTAGGCCGCACGATAACCAGCTCTCCTACGTCGGCGGCGAGACCAAGATCCTGGCCGTTGATCGCACCATCAAGTTCTCCGGCATCATCTCCAAGCTGTCCGCTCTCTGCGACGCCGACGTCTGCTTCAAGTACCAGTTACCTGGAGAAGATCTCGATGCGTTGATCTCGGTGACCAATGATGACGATCTCGAGCACATGATGAATGAGTACGACCGGTTGTATCGAGCTTCGGCGAAGCCGGCGAGGCTGAGGCTGTTCTTGTTTCCGGCGAACTCGCCGGTTCCGTCTCAATCGGGATTTGGATCGGGTGAGGAGAAATCGGATCGGGAGCGGTTTGTGGACGCTTTGAATTCGGGACCGATCCAGTCGTCTTCTCCGCCGTCGACGGAGGCTCCACCGCCGAACCACATGGACTTCCTCTTCGGTTTGGATAACAAAGGTGTGCCACCGCCGCCAGTTCCAGTGGCGATGAAACTCCAGGATCAGGTTCTGGAACCTCCGTGTTCGGACCGGTTTACCGGATCCGATCCGATGCAGAGGCAGATCCAGGATTTGCAGAGGCTGCATATTGGAGGACAGGAACAAGCTATGTATCGGAAGAAAAGTGATGATAATTTAGTCGGAGGCTTCCCGGGAGAATATTACGTTAAGAAGATGCCGGAAAAGGTTTCGCCGACGACAGCACCGGCGAGTGTGCCGGCGCCGGTGTCAGTTCCAGCTGGATATTGGCCGGAAAAGCAATTCGTGAGCGGAGGTTTTCAGGCGAACACTGCGGCAACTGAACAGCAACAAGTATACATGATTTCAACTCCGGCCGGTATGTATCACGCGCCGATGGCGAGACCGGTGACCGCTCCAACTGGTCAAGGTTACTACGCCGTGCAGAGGATGCCACCGGATGTCTACCGGGACCAGCAGGTGTACAATGCTATGCAGCAAATGGCTGCACCACCAGCTCCGGCGGCGGCGCCGCCACAACCCACCCTGCAGCCGCAACAACAGCAGCAGAAGGTGATGGGGTATTCGGATGGGTATGGAATGGTACGGCAACAACAAACTAGTGGTGGGCCCGGGGTGACGGATATGGCGTACGCGCAGATGGCGTACGATAGTGGTGTGGGAAGACAGGTCTACTACACTGCGCCCGGTGGTGTAATGCCGCAGGGTTATCAGGCCGTGGCGGTTAACGCCGATATGAGACCAGCTGGGACTTTGAGTCAAGAGGGGAAGGTGGTTACTGCTAAGGTCTCACAAACTTGAGTGTGAAATGTGAACGAGATATTTCATAAATATAAATAAAATATATATTATATATGTATAATTATATTATTTCAGTATGAGAAATAATTATTGTGATATATGTGAGGATGAAATGAATTGGGTTTATTGTTAAGGTCAACAAATATATTTTTAATAATTAATATAATTAGTTTACACATTAGAAAGTGAATAGAGAATTCATGTGGCTTCATAATGACGATTTCAAGTAAATAAATAAAATTTCAAAGAAACACGTCTTTTAAGAGATGAACTGTAAATTCAGACCTACTTTGTTGTGTCAGAGTTTAAATGATGTATATGACTTATGATTATTTATACATATTCAATAATAAATTTGGATTTGCCGCATCTCTGAATGAGAAAAGAATAAGAGTTGCAATGAAAAGAATTTTATTTTATTTTTGACAAAGTGTGAGTGGAAGATCTATAATTTCAAGTGTATCATCGATGAGATCGCTGTTTTTGAAAAGGCAAATCAATTATGCAACCCATGAAAGTAAAGAATAATATCACATAGTAATGGTGCTTTATACTTATGGTATCTATATTTTCTTGATGTGGATTTTAAAATATTAGAATCCAAGACAATACACATCAGTTTCGGTTGATTGGATTGAAGGAATTGGGGAGAGAAAGGAAATGAGGAGGAATTATTATCTTTCGTTTGTTCAAGAATATGTCGCCAGACGAGAGACGTGGTGGAAAAAAAAAACAATTATTAAAGGAAAAAAAAAATCATTTAAGTTTCTTGTTTTTTCTCTATTTCTCACAAAATGGTACAATTATTAAAGAAAAAAATATTTTTTATCACCACAAACTAAAATCATTCCTTTCATATCTATTTCTTTCTTAATTATCCAAACATCAAACAAACAAGTGTGAAGAGAGGTTAGCATGATTAAATTAAAACTACACAATTATTGTATCTCTAGGCATTGGATGTACCCAAAGGTCATTTTAAGATAATAAAATCCAGCAATCAAACAAAGGCTTTGTTATATTGATTAGTTAGATGTTTTAGTCACGGAAAGAGAAACACAGAGATTAAAGACTGACCAACGGGGTTGGAAAGAAAGGGAGTGGATGGCAGGCGCAGGAATTCCAGGGACAGGTGTGCGATTTTCTCAGGAAACAATCACCCCCACCCCATCAATGGACCCCACCACCCATTTCTTTTCCTTCAAGCATGAGTTTCTTATTCATCAAATTGTCACTGTTTGGTGACTGGTTTTGAGATGGCGTGGCGCCAAGCAATGGTGGCAAAATTATTTAGGCTTGGTTGGATAACATTTCTTAACATTATTGTTTCAATATATATATATATATATATATATTATATAAAGGTACTATTTTTGTTCCTTAGTAGTTATTATCTTTTTTGAAAAAACTTCTCTCCTTTGCTTACATGACAGGTGTGTACATGTTCTTTTCATACATTGGATTGATTTTTAATATAGAATTTGAGTTGTTAATTATTTTTTATTTTTGTAATTTTTGGGTAGAGTGTTCTTGTGTGATGTTATATATTGTTCAATATTTGTGATGTTACATAGAAGTAAGAATAATATTTTTATTAATGATATTTATTTTAAATTTATGAAATTTATATAAACTTTCAAGAACGTGTAAAACAATAAAAATGACTTTTGTTTGTCTCTTTTTTTCTTTCTCCTCTTCTAGAAAAAATCTTCTTCATCCGAGTTTGAATGGGATAAGGTCCATATGTACAGTTTCGTTTGCTATAGAAAATTATTGTTACCTCGACATAAATTTATGTTGAATTTTCGATTCAACTCTTCAAATTGCTGCTCAGTCAATAGAATCACTGATTATATTAGACCTAATATAGAAAATACTATCGGCATGCATTGGAATGCCTTTAAACAAGTTATAAGATATCTTAATTGGACTATTAAGTATTAACTATGGTTTTATATACAAAAATTAACTCATTCATAATGGTGTCTTGCTAATCTTTGATATTGAAAAACAAATCTTGATTGAATCTATATTTACTCAAGGGATACAATCTGCTAATGCTTCAAAACCTAGAATTTTCGTGATTTGGAGTATTATAAAGTGAATTCCAAATTTGTTAATATATATATATATATATATATATATATATATATATATATATATGTTGCGTGCACTTTGAATTTGCAAACTATTTTAAGAGTCTAAAATGATTAAGAATTGAGTCTTTGATATATTGTTCGTTACTAATAAAAAATAAAAAATTAAACTTTTATTATGTTAGTCTAGCATAAATAGCAAATGTCTCGATAGTTTAATAAATTAGTGTCTTTAATAAATTTTGAAGTGTCAGATTTAAACTCTCAATATCTAATATTTATTACAGTAAAATAATAATAATAATAATAAAAAAATAAAAATACATAGATGGTATTGGACTAAATTAGTACTACATATATAGGGACATATTATGTCAAACTTTTGCAAGGAGTTGTCTTCATCTCAATGATAGGGGTCCATGTGATTCCATCTAGATACAGAGTTTGGGACAATTTCAAATATGTTGTTGATGAGTTCTCTAGATAGTCTTTGGGTGGGATATTTATTTAATTAATGGGCTCACCTGTAACAGTGTAGCTGTGGGGTCACTTGAAATGGACTAATTCTTTGAATTTTTTTTTTTAAAAATGGGAATAAAAGCATGGAGCAATAACATCTTGTTGACTTTTGAAATTTGGATATGGATGCCTAGAATGTCCTGGTTCAAAGTGTTCTATGTATTTTTAAAAGTAAATTATAATGATTTTGTTTGAGGTTTCAACAAATTATATATAGCATTTGGTTTAGAGTTTATTACTTTGATATTTATTTATTTATTATTATTTTTTTAAGTAAAAGTGTGGAGGTAATGAGTGGTCTCTACTGTGTGCCTTTTGTCATCAAAAATTAAATTTGACGCTAATAATGTCATCACATCGATACCGTTCCTAAATTTATTGGTTGATTGTCAAAATGTGATTTTGAGTATGAAAAATTAGTAATGTCCTGATTTTCATGTAAGGAAAGGGTGAAATTATCATTTTATAAACTTTGAACAAACCCCGTAAGGTTGGCTTAGCAGGAGAAAACTTAGGTCTTGGTATTTTATGAAATATCAGGTCTTAGGTGATCTTAGGTTCGAGCCTCTCGGTAAACAATTTCTGTGGGGTACACCCACGAGTTAAGTTGCTATGAGTAATTTTGCCCAAACTTAAGGGAGGTTAGGGTAATTTACCCTAATTTTCAAGCAAACATTAGTTACAAGCTTAATACACGTTGTTTATTAGTTAGGACTACAGGAATAGTAGTAAGTAAAGGTGCAAATGCATTTGTTACTTTCATAATGTATAATTTTCTAGCTATTTTGTAGTTATATTAAACTTTTTTGTTTAGAATATGTAGTGGATTATTTAAATAAAAATTTAGCTTTTTTTAAATAAAAAATTCTTATTTGTATGAGGGCATAGACTTTGTCTCAGGGTCCCCATGAGTTTCATAATAGAGTTTGGTTTGGATATGACGTTCCATTTCGATCCAAGGATTTGAAAATGAATGGATTAGTGTTAAGACCACTTAAAGAACTATGTAATATATATTTATAATGAATAATTTAGGTTTAAGTTTTATAAAATGCATATATTGATTTGAGAACTTTGTATATATGGATTTTAATAATTAGGTGGGAAGAGTTATTTGAAATTCATTCCCTATTCAAACTACATTTTAATCTAATATCCTTCGAGTTTCTACCTTAATACACAAAATTTTAGGATTTTGTTTCCACCGGAAGTCGTAGCTTAATGGTGCTTCTTCACCTTCTAAAATGAAAGGTTGAGATTAATTCTCCTTAGAATCAAGTGGGTGTATATGTTATTTATGAGGAGAAAATAATAATATTTTAAAAAAAATTTAAATTAATTTATTTCAAATACATTCATTAATCAGAATGGAGCTTTAAGTTCACATGCTATTACTCTCCCTCATCAATGTACAATACTTACTGTGTCACCAATTATCCTCCTAAATACCTTGGAATAATGTCACACTTTCATTTATAAATTATCAGTTACATCAATAGTCTTGAATTTAGAAAAATAAGCTTGGGTTGGGTTTGGTTTTGAATTTTATACTTTGGGTTGGTTGGGCTTAGGATCACAATTGCATAGCACCTTAAGAACTTCATTCACTAGTCCCCAAATTCAATTCTAAAATGGTTTATAAGTTAAAATCTATACTCAAAGCATATTCATCCTGGTTAAATCCGAAAACAAACATAGATGACAATATTGCACGATAAGGTTGGAGTTGGATAAGATACATGATCATTGTTAGGGGTGCACATGGTTCGATTTCATATAGTTCTAGGTTAAATCGAAATCGAACCGATTCCAACCATACCTAAAAAAATTGGAATTGGAATTGGAATCGTTGAGGCTTCGAACCAAACCGAACTAAACTGTGCTTCGAATTTCGTGGATTCTTTGTCATGATCTGTAATTGATTCCTAAGCTACATTTATGGCATGGAATGGTGCTTCGAATTTCATGGTTCCAAATGCAACATAAGATTATTTATGAAAAAGGCCAAGGTTTCATAGTCATGACATACAAGGATAAAGTGACTGATTCAGCTGAATAGATTTTACCTTCCCAAAAAACAAATGACTATAATTCTTTTTCTATATTTTGAACTCTCAATGGATCGATGAGTGTCTGTCAATCTTGTATGAGTTTATTTTCCTCCTTTTTCTTCTCTTTTTAACAATTGTCGTGTCAAACATCTTACTCTTAGAACACCTCATAATCGAAAATCGAATGCAGGCAGTCTCCCCGTCTTATATGCACAGGAAAAATTCCGTGAGAGTGGCCCAATTCCACAATACTATTTTTCGTGCACTTGGAAAGCAAATATGTGCATGGGCCTGGTTTTAATCCATTCTCTCTTTTGGGAAGCTACTCTTGGGTCCATGTCTAGAAGGTGGGAATTGACATAAAATATATGTTGTGGGTGAAGAGTTAGTGTGGACCCAACCCATGTTGAGTAGCCCAAAAGCTCATATGGACTTGAACTTCTTTCAGAAAACTAACATGTGTAATTTTATTCGACTCCTCCAATGACTCATCAATTTCACTCTTATTTGCAAAATTATTTTCAAATTCTGATTTTATTCCTTTTTTTTTTTTTAAAAAAATTGAATTTTAACTAGTATGCTAGATCTTAGTGATTCTCAGGTTTTAATTAAATTCATAATAACAAAATATTGTGAAAGAATTTTAAAGAATAAGAAAATATATGAAACAAGAGAAATGGTATTTTGGTGATAGTAGAAGAGTTTATATATGCTTTAGATTTTATTATATTCAATATTTTTAAGAGCATATCAATTTATAAAGGACTCACTTCAAAAGAAATTGAAGAAAGTATATATTATTAAATAAATAAAGACATACCAATTTACCATACTACCCGTGTTAAAAAAAGATAGAGGAATTTCTTCAAGTGGAGAGGCTTAGAAGTGGAAAATCAAGAGCTTTTACTACTATACCAAACAATGCTTAAATTATTTATTATTATATATCTAATAATTTGTGAATCACAATAGTGAGAGTGTGAACAAGTAATTGTCAAAGTAAGCCATCATAGTAATGAAAAATCAACCGCATTATTCTCTCTTATCTGTGCCAAAAGGTGCTTTTCTTTTTATTTTTTTAAGGTGCTTTTATTCAACATGTTATTCAATTGATTTTCTTATTCTAAGACTACTTTAAAATCGAAAAAATATATCAATATTTTTTTCTAAAGAAAAAAAAGAGAGGTGATATTGTTTTCCACTTTTCAACAAATATATTTCTTTTTTTTTTTCTTTTTTTCTTTTTTTTTTTGTCTTTTCTTAACAAAATGACAAAAATACCTCTAGTTTCATTAATGTTTGATTATATTACTTATGAAATTAAGTAGGATAGTATCATTTGGTTAAGAAGTGGAAGTGTTTGTTGAAAAGTGAAGTGTAAATAACGATTTAAAATAAATAAAAATAAATTGAAAAAGAGTATGTAGATTGATAATATTCACACTTTTACAATAGAGTTGTACTCGTGTTATGTTAATACGACAATGACATTCCTCGAATATTCTATCCCACACTTCATATATGTTCATAAATAAATCTTAAATTTAGTATTTGGACACTTAGCCAATACTTTCAGATACTTTTCAAACACTTTTTAACACAAGGCTATACATAATACTTGAAAATAATATGAATTTAACTTTTTTCTTCAAGAAAATTTGTATTATATATATATATATATATATATATATATATATATGATGATCACAAGTGAATCATAAAATAATATTTGTTCATTTAAAACAAAAATACTATTATGATAAAGTAGTAAACTAACGGTACATGATCTAAAAATTATTAAAATAATGACATAATTTTATTTTTTAAATTATTTCAAAGCAATTCTTAGTATAAAAATTAGAAATGAATTAAAATTTCATAATACTATTACCCAATAGATATATATAGATAAAAATTTATATTTATATATAGTTGTATCCGTACCACACTTATATTTTACTTTTTAAAAATTTAATGTGTCAACCAAGGGCGGATTTAGGAATTGTTATCGAGGTTGGCTAATGCTAGTAATTTTTTTTTTTTTTGAACTGGGCTAAAATTGACTATAGTAATATATATATATATATATATATATATATATATATATATATATAAAATTGTGAGCTTAAGCCCACCAAAGCCCACCCCTAGATTCGCCTTTGGTGTCAACATATTCATGTCGTATGGTGCTCAAATCTTGTGTCGATCTATTCTGCTCAATGATTTTGGAATGTTATAAATCAAGTACAAGGGGTTATATTAATTTATACATTGTGTGATATTGTTGCCGAATTTGGTGACGAACCGTTTGATAAGCTTTAGAGTGAATGATCAAGAGACACTGAAAACCAGACAAAAAGAAAGTGAGACGTTGAAATTTATAATCTCCGTTTTTAAACATTGTAAAATTTTTTTTATAGTATTTCGTGATCTCGCTGAAAGGCCCTTAAAAGAAAAAAGACTTAAAAGTATAGACAAAAAGATGAAAAAGTTAACAAAGAGGAAAAGTGGAGGAAATTACTTGGAACTTCATGAGTCCATTGTTTGAAGCAAAACCTTTGCTTTTATAATGAAATTTAATAATTGAGTTCAATCACTTTCATGAGAATAAAATTTTTTAGATAACCTTTGGAACTGTAGTAACGTGTGGGGGTAAGAAAAGCGTGTGCCTTTCTTTCTTGAAAGTAGATCCCTCATGTCATGGGTTGGCATTTCACTTCTAGCAATAGCATCCTTTTATTCCATTCCTTACCCAAAAAAGCACTTGTTTGGTATTGGTATCATCTCTTGCTTCAAAAAAGGAAAAGAAAGTTTGAGAGAATTACAATTTCATTTAGGTATCATTAAAATTGAGACTTTTGAAAGGGAGAATGAAAATTTCAATAAAAATCAACCATTTAGTATAATTTAATATTAAATTTGATATTTATTGCAATGTACTTTCTCGGCATCCATCATTACCTTGAGAGAAAGTATTAAGCGGTCATAAATGACTAGTGGTAGAAGAGTCTGATCCGTTCCAGATGCGAAAGAGAATGGGTATATTATACATGTGGTTAGGTAGACAACACTATCCAACAATTGAAGTTTTTGAGTTAAAAGGTAAGCAGCCGATCCATTATAATTAGTATCAGAGTTAAACCCGATCTTTGATATAGTGTCATGTCAAGCGCTTGCTTAGACGAACCCACCCGAGAGGTGCCTAGATCAAGGTCGGTTAGCTCGACTTCAGCGAGGGCTTGCGAGTTCGAGTGAGAAAAAATATTAGAAGGTATTGTCCGACATCGAAACTGAATAAATAAAGAATGAATATATAAATAAGTGTTTATAATAAGCCACTTAGTGATCCGGTCCAATCAAAATGCATGTTAGAAAATTTTGATTACTATGGACCAATTGGTAATGTGACTAGTGTTTTTTACCCTTCTCATACTTTGCTAATAAATTTGCCCTTTGTGAACATATTTAAAATTTTATTCTCTCTCAAATCAAATTGCCATCTTGTATTTATACCTTTGCATCGAATTTGATATATTATGTGGATATTATAATAATTAATGATCGCCCATGCATAACAGAATTTATGTTGAATTCATGCTACATGTATATTGTTGCTCACATTCTACAATTTCTTAAGGTGGTGGTAACTTCCACATTTACTACATAATTTCACATGATTTGCCTAAGATGTACCTAGACTAAATACAAGCCTTTTTATATTTAAAAGAAAATTCCAATTTCAACGGGCAATATTAGCTTTAATGAATAAGTAAATCTTACAAGGAGGGTTCCCTTTGACAAAATAACAAACAAAAACATGGTGATTTTAATTTTTTTTTTATTTTTTATTTTTTCGTTTTTATTAAAAAGATATTAATCCTCATTTAATTTTTAAGAGTTGTGATACTCACACCAAATAATTACAGTGAATTATCTAACTGAATACTCCGTTATTTATGGTATAAATGACGAATTAAAAATAGTAAATCTTAAAATATTCAATGCGCCGAGTATGTTATGTCATTGGTACGTACTAACAATGAAAATGCATTACTATGTGAAATTGGTTTAACTTATTTTTGAAAACTATTTTCAATTAACTGTTTTATGAATTTTCATTGGTCGAATGTACAAATGACATGGTATGCCGGCGACACCCAATAACTACTTGAGTTTCGGATTCTTACTTGCCATTTCATACATTCAAACAGTCATTATTTTGATCAATCCCAGTTTTTCGAAACAAATGGCAAATGAGGGTCCAAAATTTCACGTAAATGTAATTATTTTCTCTCTCTCTATATATATAATTTTATCCAAATTTGGCCATTATTTCTTCTGACGCCAGTATGATTACGTGTATTTGGCTCTTAACTCTCATTTTTTCAATTAATGAGGCACATTAGTGATGGAGGCTCTCCAGTTTCAGTCGACATGGTGTTGACTTGGCTGACCATTTTTATTATTTTATTATTCTCTCTATCTCCATCCATAGATAGAGAGAATAATTAAACTCACAAAGCATGTACAGTCATCAATGGGTATAGAATCTTAAAAACGGTTTTAACCCAGTTCTTTCTAGAGGTTTCTTTCCGCCCCACCTTACCTATTATTCTCAAGCTTTTATGTGAGACTATATATATATATATACACAGCTACCCTCATGTCAAGTGTCAACAATTCATATTTCACTCTTGAACTCAGCTTGTGTTTTGGTTTGTGTTGCAAAGATGATTAATGAACCCCCCAAATATGCTTATCCATACCCTCCTCAAGGTACCATCCTCTTTCTTCTCCTCCTCATGATTCTTTTGCCAATCTATTTCTAGTCATATATATATATATATATATATCATTCTTAATTGTTGCCCAATTATTGGTAAAGACTATATGTCTTATAGTTATATCTGATTTATTCTTCCATGTCTCTAGCCAACTTTTCAAAGATCTCTCTCTCAAGTGTTGTCTGTGTTCTAATCTTCCATGCCTTTTTTTTTTTTTTTAAAAAAAAAAAAAAAAAAAAGAAAAAACTTGGGTTATATATTTTCACTAAATATTTTAGTGCATGTTTCTAATGTGTGTTATATTTGGACCAGGGCAAGGTTATTATCAAGGTCCTCCAGTGATGGCACCTCCTCAGTATGCTGCTCCACCTCCTAAAAGAGAACCTAGTTTCCTTGAGGGATGGTATGTCAATTATATATATATATATATGTCTGTGTGTGTGTGTGTTGATCATTCTTATGAAATTTTTTAATTTTAACTATTTGTTATGGTTGTGGTGATTTGCAGCCTTGCAGCTATGTGTTGCTGCTGTCTATTGGATGAGTGTTGCTGTGATCCAGACATATTCTGTGTGTTCTAGTGGTGGTGTTGTTGATTGTGAAGAAGCATAATTTTGGTGTTCTTTTTGGTTGTGTGTAAAACAATAAAGAAAGGTGCTTTAGTGGATTCTATATGCTTGTGTTTAAGGCATTTCCTTTGTCATTCTATATATATTATTAGTTTGTAAATTGCATGCTTCTGACACAATTCAATTCATAGATGTTTTTTTTTTTTTTTTAATATCCAAATGTAGATGGGCTTGTATAAATATTCTCAAGGGTGGCTAGGACTAGTCAGATTAGGCATTAATCCTAATCTGATCCGGTCCTAACGGATTAGAAAATTTTGAATCTGTCACTAATTCATGTGACGGATCAGATCGAGTCCGTAAAATGACGAATCGGATCGGATTCATAGATTGAGATTTTTCCATATAATCCAATATTATTATTTTTTAATCATGGCTCGATATATAAAATTTGAATTTATTAACATTAATTAATACATTCTTATAGCCATTAAATGATCATTAACGAATTTTAATTGAAAAGATCATTAACTAATTTATTTTTAAAATATATCTATTTCACGGAATGGATTGGATCGGATAATTAAAAGTCCAATCTGTAATCCGATTCTTGAATTATGCATTTCATATTGTTGAATTTATCGCTGATCCATGAGTTTAATAATCCGATCCACATAGATTGGATCGGACTCGTGGATTGTCGGATCAAATACCTACCCCTGATCATGTAAGAAAATTCTAACGGGACTGAATATGTGATGATAAAGAGAGTTTCTGGAGATTTCTTGAGGTAGGTGTGGAAGATTAGTTGTGAAAATTCTTGTTAATTCAATGTAGTCTTGTGGCCAAGGAGTCGATTCTTTGATGTTACTACAAAATTTTAGAATTTGATTTGGGTAATTTTGGGTATGGTTGATGGGATCAAATTAGTGGATTATCAAATGGATCAAAGTAGACTTTGAAAAGTTGCTCTGAAATCAGAATTTGGATATTGCTTTTCGAAATTGTTTTTGTTTCTTGAGTACGAAATATAAATTAATAAAAAACGAGGGGTAAATTGCAAAAACTCCTTAAAGGAGTCACGATTTTGCAAATACTTATTAGACTACAAGAAGAATATTATTTCTACCAAGACTTGAACAGTAGGAGAGGATCATGCTAAAAAAAAAAAATAATCATACACATCATCACCATTTTTATCTTAATCCCATTTGAATCATTTGAATGGAGTCGATCACATGGATTAATCATTTAGCTAAATTTTTCTATTACATGTCAATTCACCAACTATATTTAATTTTTTAAAATTTTCTATTACATGTCAATTTACCAACTATATTTAATATTTAATATATATTTTGTTCATAACCTTATCTTAAGTTATTTTTTTACTTTCATTCTCATTTCTTACTTTCTATATTACTAGTCTTCCTCATTTGATTAGCGTATCACTAAGTTTTCGATATATATGTGTAAACCATCTAAGCCGCCATCTCAAATAGGGCGTTACACCTAATTTCCTCTCATTTTCATTAGTAATCATACCCTTCTAATTACTCCATTCATCCATCTGAACATTCTCATTTCCAGTGTTGTATTTGTTTCTTTATTAAGGCCCAACACTCTGCTCCATACAACATAATTGGTCTAATAATTGTCCTATAAAATTCTTGATTTAGCCTGTGTTATTCTTTTGTCACATAAAATTTCATTACCTTGTCTCCATTTTGTTCGGTTAACTGCAATTCTACTAATCGCATCGCTATCTCTCTGTCCTTTCATATTATCAATCCTAAATATCGAAAGTGGTTATTTGAAATAATAATGTAATTTTGAAGTGTCATCATTATATTATCAACATTCAAATTTTAACAAATTTGCACTCGGTAGACCTGGCTTTAGTTTGACTAATTCTTAATCTTTTTGATTCTAAAGTATTTTTCCATATTTTTAATTTTATTGCTAAATTCTCTTTTAAGATATCCTAAAGCACAACATCATCCACAAGCATCATAGACTCATGACTTACTGATCTTGCAATTTTGATGACGACCTACTAGCCTTATAGGTCGCATTTGTGAGTGTGTGCAAGTATTCATTGAACAAAAAAAATAAATAAATAATGCTAGTTTGGCCTTCCAATTTCATATTAATACAATTATAAGACTTTTTATTTAAAAAATAATAATAATTTTATCAAATTAATTTTTAAATTAGATGGAATCAGATTCAAGGATAAAATTGACAGCTCTAATTTGAAACTTAATATTGTGTGAAATAGTGAATATATGCCACTCAAGATCCATACATAGAGAGAATAATTAACCCACAAAGCATTTCCAGGTCATCAAGCTTATAGAATCCCAAAGTCGGTTTGAAACCAGCTCTTTCTAGAGCTTTCTTTCCACCCTCTCATATAAATATAAACTATATATATAAATATATATATATACACACACCATGTCAAACAAACTGTCAAACAAACCCCATTTCCACTTTCTAGATTCTGCTTCTCTGTCGGTGTTTTTGGTTTGTGTTGCAAAAGATGAGTGAACTCCCCAAATATGCTTATCCATACCCTACTCATGGTATTTATTTCTTTTCTAATTATATTATGCTCAAATGTTTTTTTAATGGGTTATGTTTTATTTCCGTTAAATATTTTAGTGAATCCTCTGATTTTTTTAATTTGTTTTCAATGTCTTATATGACATAATATGGGTGGAATCCAAACTTTAAAGGAATTAATTGACTTTTGAGCACATGTAGGCTATGCTCTTAATTTTTTCACTCTTAATACCATGTTTCTAATGGATATATATATATATATATACACAGATACAGGTTATTATGAAGGGCCCCCGGTGATGGCACCTCCTCTATATGCTGCTCCACCACCTAGAACTGAACCTGGTTTCCTTGAGGGATGGTATGTAAATTATACATATATATATATATATATATATATGTATGTATGTATGTATGTGTATGTGTATGTGTATGTGTATGTACACATGTATTTGTATGTGTTGATCATTCTTATGAATTTTTTTTTTTTTTTATTTTGACACTTATTTTATGTTTGTGGTGATTTGCAGCCTTGCAGCTCTGTGTTGTTGTTGCCTAATAGATGAGTGTTGCTTTGACCCAATATTCTGGATGTACTAGCATGATGGTGTTGTTGATTGTGAAGAACCAGAATTTTCTCTTCTTTTTGGTTGTCTAATGTTATAGAGGTGGTTTAGTGGATTTTATATCCTTGTGTTCAATAAATTTCCTTTATAATTCTATATTATTAATTTATTTATTTTCCTCTGTAAATTACATGCTTGTGACACAATTCATAGATGTTAGAATGGGTAAGATTTTATTGTATTTTTTAATCCAAATGGGTATGATGAGAGAGCAGAAAAATTATCATTATAAACAATGTTATACCGTCTACGAAAATTTTAGGGTAAATTGCACGGATCTTTCTTAAAATTTGACTAAATTACACATAAGTGGAGCGTTTCAGATTTATTACTTTGACCTCCCTTGATGTTTGGATGAATGCTCAGCAATCCCTTCTCCATCAAAACTTATTAAAAAAAAAAAAATCATAAAATGACAAAGTTGTCCTTACACCTATTTTTTATTTATTTATTTAGAATTTTTTTTTTAAGAGGGGGTAACAGTGGTGGAGAGGACAAAGAGGACAAAGAAAGTAATAAGAGAGATGAGATAAAAAATAATTTTTTATTAAATTTTATAATATATTTTGTATTATAAAAATATATTACATATAATATAAAGATATAATTGACTTTTTATAATTTTAAGGAATGTCAGGATAATAAACTTCAAATATTTTACTCATGTGAGATTTATTCAAACTTCACGAAAGGTAAGTATAATTTACCTAAAATTCTAAATTCGATGATAAAGAGAGTTTTTAAAATTCACGTTAATTCAATGTAGTTTGAAAATGGGGTAAATTTTGATTTGGGTAAATTTGAGTATGTTGATGAGGGGTTTGGGTTATCGAATGAATCCAAACTAAACTAGGGTAAAAAAAAGAATCAAACTATTGTATGAAAAGGTTCAATGAAATCAGAATTTGGATATTGCTTAATTGGATTAAAAATCAATTTACTAGAATGTGGATATTCCTGTAAAAAGTTACTTGAGTTTATTTACAAACCAAGCCTCCATGTGTATATTTATGTATGTTCAAGCCCAGTTGTTTTGAATTTTTTACTTCAGAAAATTGTTTTTGTTTCTTGAGTATGAAAATTAATTAAATAAAATTAAGTGGGTAAATTGCAAAACTTCTTTTCAACTATCAGGATTTTGCAAATATATAGGACTAGTTAGTTTGATAGTTGAATTACCTTTTTAGACATTTTATTATACAGTATTTAATAAAAAATAAATAATTGAAGTAAATTATAATATTTTTTTATTAACTTTCATATTATTCAAATTATGGAATGAAATTTTCTCATAAATTTATTTTAAAATTTTCATGTTATATAATGAATCTTATATATATATATATATATATATATATATATTCCCTTCATTTTTAATTTTAGACATTAATTTGCATATAACCAAAGAAGAGTAGCCAAGGAGAGAAAAGTAGAGGGAGATTCTTTCATATAATGGCATTTCTGTAGTTTTCTCCAAACACATACATGCGCTTTCACTTCGCACGTGCCAAAGCGCGTGCATGCCTTCTCTCATTCACGGCCTCACCCATATATCACTCCTTTGGGGCATCTATCGTCTGGAGCATTCCAGATCTCTCTCTCTCTCTCTCTCTAAATCTCTGAACTACGACTGGTTCTCTGATCGGTGGTTGTCTCTCTCTCTCTCCGTATATTAATCTTTGTAAAATCATATATCATTTGTTGGTCAAATATCAGATTTATTGCTCTAAATCACATATATATTCCTTTGTTCACATAAATATATATATATATATATATATATATATATATATATATATTGGTTCGTTATTATTCATCAGATCTGTTGACATGTATTTTGCAACTGGGATTAAGAGAGAGTTAGGGATTAAAATGGAGTGGGGGCGATTTGGGCCTTTTTAACCAGATCGAACCATCACTTTAACCAGATCGAACCATCACTCTAACCCATTTATGTCATCACCAT